AAAGAACCTGAAAAAAGAACTAATTATTTTTTATTTCTAACACTTATCCTACTACAGCATTAAGCACTTTAGACACATGTTTAGATTTTCTAATTTTAAAGGTGTCAAAAATTTTTGTAAACTATAAGAAAATAATGAGCAGAAGTGACATATTCGTCTTTTTTTACTGAAGTGTCAGATTGATTTTAGGTTATTTAAGTTAGATCAAAGTTGAAAAATGGTAAATTTATACGTCAAAAACGTCAGAGTTTCAAATACAGTTTGCAGTAGAAGGTCAAATGGACAACGGCCGCACTCTCACATATATCAGGTAAATACCCGATTCAATGCTATCTAATATATTTAGCATGCCAAATGCGAAAGACATTATTTTACGAAAATGTCTTTCGGTTGTCTTTCTTAACACTATGCCACCTTTGTCACTGCAAGCAACATGTTTTATTTGTATTGATACAAAACACTCATGGTATATACAGAGCTTAGCGATGTAGCGGATACTGCTCAATGTAGTCTCCATTCTAAAAATGTAAAACTAAAAAGATAAACAATTTGTTTAACGGTCAAACGTAATTTAGCCTCTGCGATGCTTCTCATATTATGTGTGATAATGTCTTTTATATCTGCCAAATTTGCAACATGTCCTCGATAAACGAAACGTTTTAAATATCCCACAACCAAAACTTACACAGATTAAAATCCAGAGAATGACGTGCTAGAAAATTTGACTAATTATTTAGTTATTGGTGAAATATTGCCGCAGAAACTTCTATACGCAGCATCCAATATGTTGACGTGATTCATCTTGCATGAAAATAGTTCAATGAAAGATTGTCGCTGTTGCAATTGCAGTTGATATTCCATCTGCAATTGCAACAGTTGAGATACACACTTCACCACATTCACTAGTTGGGTATATCTTACGATACAGTGTGAAAAATTGGTATATTGTAATCCGTAAACCATTAGCCATAGCCAACAGTTGCTTGTTTCAGACAGGAAAATCCGACTGACCTTTTGACCTTTTTTTTCCAAAATGAAATTCGATGTAGTCATGGAAGAAAAGAATCATGTGCCGTATCTCGAGTGGGATCTCACCTAATTAAAAAAATTTACTCGTTACAAGCATTTACAATTTCTTAAAAACCCAGGTTTACCCTCGAAATTAAGTGATTGCCTTTTTATAATAATTAATAACATATAATTTATTTTTAAATAAAATGTCATAACAGACATTTTAACATCATAACAATTTTATTTTAAATAATTACTTTCCGAAATAAATAAAAAAAGAATTAAATAAAAAGATGTGTCAAATAGATTTAGATTTTTTCCTGGGAAATTTTTTTACAAAGGGGAACGAAGCCCAAAGCAACATAACTTTATAACTTTTGGAGAATGGAGTCCAACAAAAGAGTATATTGCACCTGTTTGGAACTACTGATCTTGTATACTTTTATAAGAAAGCATTAGAAGTGTTCTCAATCAATCATCATCATCAATCCATTTTCATCAGAAAAAAGGCTATGCATTACCATAGCCTATTTCCTGATGAAAATGGATTAAAATAAAGCTAGTGATAATGAGAAACAATTCAATTATATACCTAATCAATTAGTATAGTTTATTGTGATTATTTAAATAATCATGATAAACTATATATAACTATAATTAAATTTTGTTTGTTTTTCGATTCAATAAATTAATATAATATTTAATGTACAGTATATAATCTAAGTGTTACATCATATCTACAAAAACCCAAACAAAATAATTTAATATAAAATTTATTGATTAGGTACAATATTTGAAAATATATTTACAAATTTACATGAGAATTCTCAATAAAATTATACCATAATATTAAAGCTTATACAATTCTAATACAGAAAAAGAAAAAGAATTATATATTAATATAAAAAATA